AGAGAGAGAGAGAGAGAGAGAGAGAGAGAGAGAGTTTAGTTAGTATAGCATGTACTAAAATTATTATAAAAATAAACTCACTTTTTATCATTTAATTATAACCATGAAGACGCGCTAGGGCCACTGTAGGGCCCCTTTTGTATAGTGAGGTTATACTTTAGTTATAGCATGACTTATGGTATCAAATATGAATCAGTCTATAAATCGCTATATTTATATCTCATACAGTATTCACTATTTACTATTACATTTCACCATGAGCTTCCCTGATTATAACTGATTTATAATTTTATCTATTTAAGACTTTTATAATTGCACACTGACCATTTGCTAATACTGACAAATGTTCAAATCTATTTATAAATAGTTCACATATCACATGATTTTCTCTCTCTCTCTCTCTCTCTCTCTCTCGTAGAATTCTAATAAATATAATAACAAGAATAACAAATAAGTTTCTCATTAAATGAATTAAACAAGTTTTATTCGCAAAACAAATACTTAAATCATTGAAAATTACATTTTCCATATTTTTAAGTTGTATTTTTTTCTCCCATATGTATGCGTTTGTGACAAATTATATCTCAGTTGTAATTTTTCAGTTAAAAATTTTAAGCAAAAATTAAGCATACACTAAAAACTCCATAAGTCGAACCTCTATAACTCGAATCCCTCTAAAAGTAGAACAACTTTCCCAAAGACACTGTAAAAACCTCTACAACTCCTGTATTCCTAAAAGTAAACTCTTTTCACAGAACCAATACCTTTGACTGTATCCCCAAATACTCCAACGTTTTATACACATACAGTATATATTTTTTATAAACAATAGGAAATGTGAGATAAACTCTAAAATGTAAAATAAAATTTTGAAATTATTGATTTAAAATTAAATTATAATTAAATTGAGACCTTAATATTTGTTTTTGTAAAATTTAATTATATGGTTTATAATTATGAAATTAAGAAATAGCAGTAATATGGTGTCACTATTTATTGTGTCAATCTCTATAACTTGACCGTTTCATACATGTGTTAGTATTTTATAAGTCGAACCGTTAATCGATAAAAAGTATTTCGTTATCATGTAATAAAACACCATGGGGTTAAGGCTATAAACTATAAACTTTATACTTAATTGTAGTTAAAAATCATACGATAAAAATAAATGATGGACTGATAACCATTCCGAGTCCATGGGATCGCATTAACATACTTTCAAAACTTACATTTAGGTAATTTGTTAATAATTTATTATATTTAAATTTAAATTGTAATATAATATATTTTGCTGTTTTTTTATGATTTAATTAGTTGGGTGTGGAGTCTATTCATTCGGGCGCACAAAAAGGACCTCGAGTTCAGTGATCTCTACCGCTGCCCAAAATCAGATGAGACACATCGGGTCCGACAGAAACTGGAAATGTAATATAAAATATAAATTTTCTATTAATTAGTAGAGTAAAAATGTAATGTTTTGTATGTATTTGTATAGCAAATGGGATAAAGAATTAAAAAGTAAAGAAAAGCCATCGTTATTTAGGGCACTCTTTGCATCGTTCGGACCCGAACTCATTGTCCTCTATATCCCCGATGCTATCAAAGTATAATATAAATGAATAATAATAATAAATTATATAAACAAATATAGTAATTATATTTTAATTAATATTCTGTAATTAGGAATTGGGCGTGAACATAATTCAGCCGTATTGTATTGTATATTTGGTGAGATATTTCAACGATGACCCCAACACTAGCCAGTGGTGGGCCACGTGTGCAGCCGTGGGTATTGTGTTGGCCACTTTAGTTTACATATTTATTATGCATTTCAACTTAACCATGTGCAGCAAAGTTGGGGTCAGAATTCGCACCGCCTGTTGTGCTTTAATCTACCGCAAGGTCTGTCCTATAAGAGTGTATACTTTTATTATTGTATTTATTAGATTTGTTAATATACTTGTTTTGTAAAGTCCATGCGTTTAAGTCATTCATCACTCGGACAGACAACTGTTGGCCAGATATTAAACATTATGTCCAACGATGTCAACAGATTTGATGAGGTATTAAATCATAAATTGAATATTGATTATTAAATATACAGTAAGAAATTAATAACTAAAATGCTTTTAACTATGGTGTTATTATTTAAAAAATAGTTTGCATTTAATTCGCGAGCATTGTTTGTGGCGCCACTGCAGGCGGCGATTGTGTTATACCTGTTGTGGTCACACTTGCGGTGGGCGTGTTTGGCGGGAATGGGAATACTTGTGCTGTTTATACCATTTCAAGTACTAATGGGTCGTATGTTTCGGAGTATACGTCAAAAGACGGCCGAATTAACTGACAGTCGAATCCGTTTAATGCAAGAGATTATCGCCGGAATGCGTGTCATAAAGATGTACGCCTGGGAACAGCCCTTCGCACAGTTGGTCGCAACCGCTCGCAAGTAATCACACAAATAATATAATATATTTAAAAACATATAATTTGTACATAATACCATTTATTAGATCCGAAGTTAAACAAATCCGTTTATCAAACTTTTTAAAAGGCGTTAACCTTTCGATATATTTTGTAATAATACGGGTTATAATATACGCCTGTTTTCTAACATATATACTGATGGGTGGGATGTTGTCGGCGGAGACAGCCTTCGCCACAATTGCTTATTTTAATGCTATGGGTTGGGTAATAGGGATAGATGTACCCATGGCTATAACCTCTCTCAGTGAGCTAATTATAGTCATCAAACGTATCCAGGTAGTTGTGTAATTGATATAATAATTTTAATATAATTTTAAAAATACAATTATTAAATTTATTAGTATTTCCTATTACTCGAAGAGATCAGTGGTTTGGATGAGAGGGAAGGATTGGACGAGATGTGGGTTTTGGGAGAAATTACTGTTAAAATGAAGAATATATTCAGTAATAATAAAAAAGGCGTTTTTATGGACAAAATGAGCGTTCGTTGGAATAATGTATGAATTCTTTGATGTCTTTCAACACGTGTTTAGAGTTTTATGAATACATTAGGAGACGACTGAACCCACGCTTCGGAACATTAGTCTGAGTGTAAAACCCGGCGAACTGTTGGCTGTCGTCGGGTCTGTTGGCAGTGGAAAAGTATGTATGCTTTCATACTATTAATTTAATTAGTATTAAAAATATTAATTATTAATTAACCAAACATAGAGCTCATTATTGATGGCAATATTGAATGAGATATCGCTAGTGTCGGGTCAGGTGGTAGTGAGGGGTCGGGTGTCGTACGCGCCGCAGGAGTCGTGGGCTTTCATAGCGAGTGTTCGACAGAATATTCTGTTTGGCTCTCAATATAATGAAGAGAAATACAATCGAGTGGTGAAGGCGTGCGCTTTGGACACAGATTTCAAACTCATGCCATTTGGGGACAAAACACTTGTGGGGGAGAGAGGGCTGGCATTGAGTGGCGGACAGAAGGCTAGGCTGAAGACAGAATATTCTGTTTGGCTCTCAATATAATGAAGAGAAATACAATCGAGTGGTGAAAGCGTGCGCTTTGGACACAGATTTCAAACTCATGCCGTTTGGCGACAAAACACTTGTGGGGGAGAGAGGGCTGGCATTGAGTGGCGGACAGAAGGCTAGGCTGAGTCTTGCCCGGGCTCTGTACCACTCGGCAGACATTTACCTTTTGGACGACCCCTTGAGTGCTGTCGACACACATGTGGCCAAACATCTCTTCCAGAAGTATAGCATATAATTATAATTTTAAATAATGTTTAATATGTTTCCCATTTATTAGATGTTGTATTGAGTACTTGAAAGACAAGACAAGGGTTTTAGTGACCCATAGCATCCAGTTTCTCAAAGACGCGGTAGTTTATGAACACGAGTTGCTGCCGCTCACACACCGGTAGCCCAGGATGTGAGTGCTCAAAGAGCGCGGCATTGATCTCATGTCATATCAGAGACAAACCGATGGATCAAATGATACGAGAGGTGTGAAGAGAAACACTTCATTCACACCATCGATGGTCTCATCTCTTAATGAGGGATTGGAAGAGACGGACGTTAAGGAACCGATAGAAGTAGAAGAACAGGAAGTGAAGACCGAACTCAAAATGATTGGATCCGTTGAGACCAATGTTTATATGAATTACATTAAGGCCGGCGCCGGACCTCTGCTCGTTATTCTTACCATTTTATTTTTAATCGTTTCCCAAGTTCTCAATCAGGGAAGTGTTTATTGGTTGAGCATATGGTCAGTGATATTATTAACATAAAATAATTAATTTAATTTAACACAATTTATTAGGACCAATCAAATGAATGAAACCCCCAAAGATGTTGATCAGACATTTAACATAATAGTCTATACGAGTCTGACCTGTGGTCTGTTTGTGTCGGCCCTGTTGTCCACCATTTGTTTCTACATAATGTGTATGAGATCTTCGGTTAATCTCTATAACCGAATATTCTATGCATTATTGCGATCACCGATACATCTGTTCGAGAGTTCGCCCATCGGTAACACTCTTTACACATTTGTTATCATTTCAATTATATATTAAATCAATTTATTTAAAATTAATTTTTAGGACGAATTCTAAACAGATTTTCAAAAGACACGGGAATTGTCGACGAAGAGTTACCATCGGTTGCCTTTGAATTTATTATTGTAAATTAATGCAATTTAATTATTTAATTTAAGTTATACCGCTTACACTTTTATTAATGTACATAGAATTTATGTATAATTATTGGATGTCTTATATTGAATGCAATCGTCAATTGGTTTCTGATATTTCCGGCAATACTTTTGTTGATATTAGTGTTTATTTGCCGTTATTTTTATATCAGAGCCGCGAGAGATATAAAGCGTATGGAAGGGCTGTGTATGTGTTTAACATTAATTAACTTTAATAATTACTTAATAAATTGCTCTCACTTTCCGTTAGCCCGGAGTGGCCACATGAGAGTGCACTTGTGTTGCGACACACCCGACTGTAGCTAGGCACGCAAACCGCGTGTCGTATACAAACTCGCAGTCAAACTTCAGGTGGTTTTGGACAACACCTCTACTTTTTTCCTATTCATCTGCACTTCACGAGCGCTCGGAGTCTTAGTGGACAGCATTTTCATTGTATATCTGAGTGCTGTTACCGTATATATTATGACCAGTAGTGACCGTATGTTTGCAATTATTAAATCAGTTTATTTTCAAATAAGATTTAATTGTATTTATTTTAGGTATTCCCGGAGGAAAAGCTGGACTTTTGTTAACATCGGGTATAAATAGTTATATAATGACAAATATTTTAATTAATTGATTTATAAATTTATTTTTAATATAAGCCCTATCTTTGACTAATGTAATTTATTGGACGGTTAAATTATCGGCCGATACCGAGTCCTGTATGACTGCTGTCGAGCGAGTTCTCGAATACACAGCCATTAAACCCGAGGCAGAGCTCGAGTCCACTCCCGATTGGAAACCACCCAAAGATTGGCCACAAATGGGAGAAATAGTGTTCAAAGATATGAGTCTTCAATACAACGAATCGCCGCATAAAGTGCTCAAAGATATCAATGTTTGCCTCAAAGGGGGAGAAAAG